GCGGAGTTTTGGCTGTATATGCGTTAGTGGCGTATGCATTACGATATAAGCTACTGTATTAGGTAACTGATAAGAGGTTTTATGTTTTTGTTTTTGTTATTACGGTTCGCAAGGCCTACGTTGTTACGAGGGTGAACGCCAGCTTGGACACTGTTCGGTGAAAACATGGTGTCGAGGGCCCGGGACAGCTCAGGATGTTGAAAAAAGACCGGTAGAGCGTTGTAATGACGCGAATCGTTCCTTCTGGTTCGTACAGCACAGACTAGACAGAAGATTGGCACAGTAATGATATGGGCTCTGGTTCGGGTATCGTCAGATACCCGAGGAAGAGGACGAGAATTACTCACAGGCTTTGGCCGAGCCCCAGCACCGCTCTCTCGTCGCTGCGAAATTCGAGCTTGAACAGCTCTGAACGACCAGACATCGTGATTTGTCGTGAATCGCTGAGACCTTGGTCAAAAGCTGTTTCGCGGTGAATTTCAAGCTTCCAAGGCCAAAAGTCGGGGTTTCTGAAAGAAACTAGTCAGCGAGACGATATGGCAAGAGCAGAAAAGCGTACCCGGTGCCAGAATTCAGCTCATGTATGTCAAATACGAGCTGGAGAACAAGACAGAGTTGGGGTCAATCCAGCTCAAGTTCAAGGATGCCCAGTGGCAGATTTCTGCGACTCGCGAGCAGGGGCGGTACAAGGACATCGGGATTCGACAATTCTCAGACAAGGGTGAAAAGGCAGAACGAGACAAGCGTTATTTGTGATAGACCGATTAACCAGAGGTCGGATTGTTTGTGAATCGGAACCCGTGTGAAGCCTGGCCGCTGAGGTTTCTGGCCGAAAGAGTCGTTTGTTTCAGGAGAATACAGAGGGAAATGCTCACATCGTTGCTAAAGGAGCAGCTTGTTCTCCTAGTTTTGTCAGTTGAACCATGGTCGCTCCAGTCGAGACGCGGTTGATCAGCTGACCATCATAAGCTTCTTCTGCGACGACCATTACGAGTCCCCATTTATGGGGCTCGTTTGTTGGGAATGAGCAACATTCTGGACACCAATCATCAAAGAGCCCAAAGGGGCTATCATTCACGGCATTCTTCCACGAGTTATGCCGCCAAGCCGTGCCATCATTATGCCATCATATCTTACGTTGCATCATTGTAACGTCACGCTTACTCTCATCATTTCAGGGACTTCGCCCATTTTTCCGATCTCAAGCTTTCAGAACACATATGAATCCCGGACTAAGTCTATCCACCCTGGTCATGTCTGGATGTCTGAAGTTCTTTTCAGTTCCGCTCTTGGTCGCACTTGTTCCTCGTATTAGTACTAGTGTCAGCAATGGCCATTGAGATGTAAAAATTGATGGATTTGTGGTATGATGTCAGTTTGAATCATCCACAAGGTTGAATATTTTGTGCTCTTCATTCTACAAGATTCCCCACTTATAGAGACATTCAAAAAATGGTGCGGTAAGTATTTCTCCAATTCTGGGCCTGTTTTGTACACTTTGATCAGATCTTGAAGAGTATACTATGCGGATGAATCGTCTTTCTGTCTTGGAGAGTTGCTTATGCTGGTAAATTTGACTTTGTTCTTTCCTGAATCCAAATCCAGCATCAAACAGCTGGTCCATGGTGGTCCTTTCAAGGCTTTTGAAGTCCTGTCTGCAACAATACCATCACTATTTAATGGTAAGGTCTTGTATCTGCTGCCAAAGGACAGCCTCTAACCCACTGGTAGCAACATGATCACAAGGGAGGGCTCGTATCTGCCGCCGGTAGGTCGGCCTCTATTCCACTGGTGAGTAATTTGGCAAATCCGGAGAAAATGCAAGTTGTCCCAATTTTCTTTTATATTTTGGATCCAGCCAAATCGTGGTACCAACAAACGAGTGAACTAGAAATAATTTTTTAGGAGTCGTAAATAATTCCATGATGATTCATGGCAGGCTATCATCACATCTCGATGTGTGATAATACAACTGCGACTGCCGCGACAATTCCCGAAATGTCAAATGGTCCTGCTCAGGGCTGGGCTGGCTGGGCCCTGACACGTGCACGGCAGCTCGGCTTCAAACGAATCGAGTGGCGATTGCGAATTCGATTGGCACTATTGAACAGCACTAGCTCAGCCTGAAATCGATGCAAGCTATCCATCTCGTTGGAAAGGCCGTTCTACCTAAACTCACGAAAAATGCCGGTGTTCCGGTCTGAATGCCAGCCCACGACGGATCTTCCTTGCCGTGCTTCCTTCTTTTCGACGCCCGCTTGTTGCCTTCCAGTCAACCCTGAACCGTGATAGAGATCGGTACAGGCTCTACATGTCCAGTCAATGTCCAGTTTATAGCTGGCTATTCACCTTACATTTGCCTAAAGCTCCAGTCTAGCCAGTTTCATCTCGCACTATGGCATCCAAGCAGGATCATGTGCCGGCTTAAATGAAGTCGGCAAGACAGAGGAAGTTGCCTCGTGTATCGAAACACTGTCAAAAGTCACAGTACGGACTCCGCAGACCGTGGATCGTCTATTTTTACTCGAGCTCCAGCGTATAAAAGATGCGAAGTCTCATCGTTTTGCTTCATTCTTCTATCTTTCTTTCTTACACATCATGAAGCTCTCCTCTGTCCTCGCTGCTCTCACCAGTCTCGCTGTTGTCTCTGCGCTGGGCTGTGACGAAGCTTCGCGCTTTGGTGACTTGACAGTTTCTCCTACCGACTTGACTCCTGGTGCAGTATGTCTTCTTCAAGCTCTCAAGTCTAATATCTGACCTATCTCAATAGTCCTTCACGATCACCCTTAATCTTACTTGCGCCATAACCCACTCTGGCCACATCCCTAAATTCCTCGACTACAGTCTCGCAGTTCCATTCAACAACAATGGATTTGAACCCGACATTGTGATTGCTCGTCGCAGCTTCACCCCGCCAGCTGATCCTTCGAAGGCTGTTGACACATTCACGGCCCAGATTCCTTTCTTCGGTTACGATGCGGGAGCGGCGTACAATATTGAACTTACGATGACTTATCCCGAGCCTGCGAGTGTTAAAGGAAAGCCAGACGTCCTTCTTCAAGGAGGAGTTTTTGCTCCGATTAACCTTAGTGTCTCTTAATTAGCTCCGTACGGACCGAAGGACTGATCATATTTCGTAGTTTGACAAGTAAACTCGTAGTCGTGCCGTTCAATATAGCGACTTTACACCCGAAGGACCTGCAAAGACCGTTTATCGCACAAAGATCACTTCTTGTGACTAGAAAGGCTGTGGGAATAAGCTGGAGGGCCGGCGAGCGGCAGGGCCCGCTACTGACGCTCCGCCGAGCGCCGAACATTCAACAACATATTCTTTTCCCACGCCTGGTCCTTTCACAAGGCCGAACAAAACGGTGGCCCGAGAAGTGCGGTGCAAGGAGAATGGACTTGCGCCGTCAACAGTAGCTGTGACTGGGGCAGCGTCGAAGTAATATCGGGACATGACTTTGGGGGGATTCGATGAGGTGAAACGAACCAGGCCCTGGGAAACTCCTATAGCCGCCCGGCGGTTTTTGGGGATTTGAGGCCTCAAAAAGTGCGATTTTGGCGGCGCATTATTGGGGATTTGACGGTCAGGAGCATTTCTCCGGCGGGAATTTTGGGGATTTGAGGCCCGATTTGGCTTTTTTCCGTATCCGGAGCCGCGGACCACTCAGGGGCCGGTGACGGAGAGCTTTTTTTTGCCGCAGGTGGACCCGTGGGACCGCAAATTCTGTGACATTATGTGACATTTCGTCACGACTGTCGGCGATTTTTTGGGGATTTGAGCGGATTTATTGGGGATTTGAGGGAGTTTTGGCCGCCGGGCGGCTATAGGAGTTTCCCAGGGCCTAACGAACCGAAAATCTGTGTTTCGGCGATCACGAGGGGAGCCAAACACGACCCTCGAGTAGATCACTGCCACTACGGCACTGCCACTGGGTCACGTTCTTGTTTGTGCATGTTAGAAAAAGTGAGTTTTGAGGCATCGTTTTGCAAACCCGTACTAAACAAGTTTAGTAGCGGGCATGGACTTCGAAAAAGGGAATATATCACATGACACCGGTAAGTCTGTATGCTGACATACCGCCCCACAGGCGTAGGCCGTGAGCCGCTGATACCCAATGATGTAAGTGATGAGCCAAGTAACAAGTTCAACCACATGTGCAATTGTACATGTCATTGCCTGGCATTCGGCCGAACCACAAAGACCGAAGGGCACAGGGTACATATCCCCAGTGGGTTCTTTGATGGATTAGCACTGAATTTCGCTCTGGCCCAAACCCTTGATATGATGTCAATAGCTCAGATCTCGAGTACTGTATCGAAACAGTACTGAGCTCCTCCTGAAAAGTTCCCATTTGACCATTAATTGCACTTCCTCCTCTGTGGTCAGTCTCAAGTTGGCTCAGCTAAGGACTGGAAAATGCAAGATGTTAATTTAGACAATATATGGCCAGTATATCAGCCAGTGTGCAATTGAGGAACATCTGGATGTAGACCAGTATCCTTAAAAATATTGGTCAGGACCTCTGGTAAAGTTTCACATGTTGTGCAGGACGATTTGCAGCTTGACTTTGATGATCACATGATGGCTTTTTCGCGAGCTTGTCCCCCCCTCTCAAAGTCCAAAGTAATTTGGACTGCTCTAACATATCTCAAAGACAACTACCACATGTGAAATAACAGTCTATCCATTGAAAAGCCTGAGTCTCTCTCATGTCAATTCCAGGGGGGGGGGGCTGAAGAGAGTCGGGGAACAGATTTTGGAGAGGTATCAGGGGAAATAATTTTTACCCACTTTCAGCAGCATAGAATCAACAAAGGATCGACAAAAAGAGCACAATTCTCCCAAGGACATACATACTTTGAGAAGCAAGGTGCCGGAAATCGCTTCATTGCGAGAACAACGAGCCAACCAATGGATTTCGAGGAATAACAGACCGAGAGAATAGATTCGGAGAGTTGTAACGCCTCCAAAAAAAGTGCTCATCCTGAAACATTGCATTAAGAGGGAATCAAACCCCCGGCGGGTCGAGCGATCTTTTCAGACGAGGATATGGCAACAACCCAGGTTACCACTACCCCATTAATGCATGGAAGGAGAAGTGAAGTGTAGATAATATCTGACATTGAGAGGTATCCAAGTTTGACCTTGATTATGAATCTTTCATTGCTCTGTCTTGGCTTCATACTCGGATTCAGAATCAACGACTCTGTTGACGAGGTCATCCTCGAGTCTAATCCACTCTCTATCAGGCCAATAACAACAACACACTCTATAGTACGTTGTATGTACGAATCCCAAAGCCAGAACAACAAACGACGGATTGTAAAAAGAAATGTACCAATAATACGAAAACCCAAACCGAAAACGGGTTAAGCCACGTGCATCGGCAGCTCAGCTTAAAATGATTTTGATTTCTGATTCAGAAACTGATAGCTCAGGTCTCAAAGTACTGTATTGGCACAGTACTAAGCCCCTCTTGGAAAGTTCCCATTTGACCATTAATTGCTCCTCCTCTGTGGTCAGTCTTGAGTTGACTCAGCTAAGGACTGGGAAATGCAAGATGTTAATTTAAATAGTGTGCAATTGAGGGACATCTGGATGTAGACCAGTATCTTTAAAAATAATGGTCAGGACCTCTGGTAAAGTTTCACACATTGTGCACGATGATTTACAGCTCGACTTTGATCGATCACATGACGATTTTTCGCGAGCTTGTCCCCCCTCCCAAGGTCCAAACCAATTTGGACTGCTCTAAGATATCTCAAGGACAACTACCACATATGAAATAACATTATATGCCTTGAAAAGCCCAAGTCTCTCTCATGTCAATTGGTGGGGGAGGGGAACCTGAAGAGAGTCGAGGGGAACAGAATCATTGGTTGGGGAACAGATTTTGGAGAGGTGTCAGGGGAAATAATTTTTACCCACTTTCAGCAGCATAGCCTGCTGTACTCAATTCTGCTTCAATTGTTCAATTCCTCCGCTTAGATAGAGTGAACCATAAGTCGTTTTTTTGGCTACATCCCAATCCCAAGACGACAGGTGACGTCGATTGATCTTCTCGTTCAGATGTTCATCCTTCCTTGAATAAAAAGTCTCGGAGAATCAAGGTGGGTTTGACCTGACCTTTCTTCCTTTTCCCACTCTACCGAAAAATGGTGCAGCGTCTTGTTGCCTTCGTCATTCTGCTAGCAGTGAGTCCCAAGCCTTATCAGGTATTTTCCTGATGTTTCCCGGCCGGATAGAGTCCATTTTATATGGTATGCAGCGATTTTAGCCACATCAAGCGCTGACATCTCAGCCAGGCTGCTATTCCGTCCTATTTCTCTTGTCCGTCCATGTCTTATGCACGAGAAAGAGGGCAAAATACCAGTTACACCTGGGCTGCATGATTTCTTTGTACACCTTAACCTCAGTTCATCTGCTGCTAGAATACGCGCTAGTGATCATGAGTGACTCTGGAGCATTGAAGATTTATGTGATATTCCAATTGGACGAGTCTGGAGGAACACTTTTGTATGGGCCAGATCAGGTGGTCCTCAATCGGCTGGTCGCTGCTCTCAAAACGGTATTCATTATTTACACGTTGAGTGATCCTTTTTATGCCTTCTTCCCCTGCTTGATTACCGATAGTCTCCTTGCAGACAGTATAATTGTGTGTCCAGCCTTGACCGCAGCAGCAGTTAACTGATTCCTCTTTAGATGTATCGGTGCTGTGTGATTTGGAAGATGGATAGACGCATATTAGTCCTCTGGAGCATTCCCTTTATGTGGTTCATAGGCAAGCCGGAAGCGACAGATCCGAATTACAGCTCATGGATATTACAGTTGCAAGTTGCATCTTTGTATTAGCAGGACGAATCGCCTGGATTACTTCTCGAGCACACTTGAACTTGGTTGACTTGTTCCATAGGCTTGAAACCGGGATAATCTATCCTTTGGCTCTCGTGGTGCTAGTTATATGCACTGTCGTTTATGGGGCCTTGGCCCCCCACTGAGGTTTCGACCATTGCATATAATTCGGTCGTGGCGATATTATATCAAGTAGTTGTGAGTAGTTTCTCATTCAACATGCCTCAGCTGACGCCGTCAAGGGTATCGCACCGACACTAATCGTGGTTCGCGTTGGTCTAGGTGTGAGCGTCGACGAACTTGACGATATGAGACCTCTCCAGAATCTCAATGGAAATTCGACAGATGTAGTTCTCGACATTCGGCCCAAGTGAGCATCCTTGATTGAACGGTATCTCTCGAGTCAAATAATGATAGCATAATTCATAGATATTATACTAGATTTTGCCCCGTAATAGGTTGCGGCCCATTTCTCTTGCAGTTATCTTCGCGGTGTGATAGAACGAGGGCATGTCTAATGTCGAAGAAATCATATCGAGGGTACCAAATGGCAGCATCGAGGGAATCCATCCTGAAAAGACGGTGAAAAATGTGGCGGTGGGTCAACAGACGACATACCTCGAGCATATTCCAAAGCAAAGCAACCTTCATGCATCTTGTACTGTTTTGATGTTAGCCGAGGCAGGAAATGGACGCTTCCCGCAGGATATCGCTCCATTTCAAATGAACCTGGACTGAAAGCCCACTGCTCACCGACGAGAATATTGAAATAATCCTCGGCAGTATGGAGTCCGGTGTGCCCCTCGGTTCCCAAAGGCGTCCCAAATATGATGAGATATTCGGTAATGCTCGCATGAATAACATACATGGCGCCCATAGCACCACCAGCATTGTTGAAGACCCATTCTTTGCTATTGGTGTTGAGGGCAATTTTGTTGGATGGGTAAGTGGCAGTGAGATTGACAACAATGTGCTCTACCATGCCAGCAGTATCGTTGGGAGAAGCAGCAATGGCATCTTGTGCGAGCTCATGCATAAAAGCAGGGTCGAAAATATACCACCGTTGCTGAAGAATATACGTTCAATTAGAGCCCATAGTGAAAAAGCAATGACCGACCTTGATGCTATCGAGCCAGCCACATACTGCGATAAACAGTGAGAACATGGCGACGCGCGAAGCCCATTTAATGATGGAGCTTTGAGGCGCAGATTTCTTGACTTTATTTTTCTGAACCATTTGTCGCAGTCAAGGGTTGAATTACGCGTCTGTGGCCGTCGAGAGTAAGAAAAATCATTTTCGCAAATAAAAGGTGGTCCGATTGCAGTCGACATGTGATTGTGACTAACACAAAATTACGGAGATTATCCGGTAGGTATGTGTGCACCAGCCGTGATCAGCGGTCGGCTCGCCAAGGCTCGCTATCCGGAGATCCGGATAGATCCGGCGGGGTTTGGAGTAAGTAGTGGGTTTTAGCTTATTTTTTTCGAACTCTACCGGATCAATCCGGATCTCCGGATAGCGAGCGCTAGCGAGCTTCACTGGGACATTCGTCTGGATCCGAGACTATGTGTGCAGCACGAGATTATCCATGGGTCAAAGGAATAGATGCGAAGCGAAGTTGATGAGAGCTGATGGTCTGGGAATGCACGGATGCGAGATTCATAATCAAAAACTGCAAGAGCTTTGTGAACGTGTCCGAGTCTGAAGCCAAGAAGTGATTGAATCGGAATCAAATCAAGATTCTGAAGTGCTGCGAAAGACTCCGCGCCATCCCACGCCCTATCTGGAACTGAGAGACAAGTAAGACGATAAGTAGGGACTGAGAAATGAGACGATGGGGACCGACTCCGCCGCCGTCCGGTGTCTCCCAGGCACCGATTATTTTCCTGTCCCAGGCCCCCGATTACTCCAGGGTCTCCCTTACCAGTTGCAGCATCACTTGGAAACACGCAATAGCTGTTATATTGATACCGTAATGTATTCTGGTAGAGCGATACTAGTATCTGGCAATTAGAGCGATTGTATCTGGCAGGTACATCAGCAAAAGGGCAAGGCTGTGAAACTGGTGATGGAATGATCGGCGTGGAATTTTTCCGGAGGTCCCATCAATCACATCAAGTCACATCAGCACACCGCCACATCTCCATCATAGGGCTGTCCACTGCTGTCCAATTACAGCATCTTTCGAAAACCTTGTCAAACACCATCTTTTTTTGATGTAATAATATAAATAAAAATCATGTCCAGGTATCTCTTTAGACTGGATCTCGCAGGTTTCTCTTGGACTTGGATCTCTGAATTTGGAGAATACATGAGCGAGTTTGGAGACTAGACGAGCCGGGACTAAGCGAGGCAGGACGAGACGTTCCTTCTACATCCGATCATCCTCGGCAAGGGAAGAACAAGACAAAGTGAAAGAGAAAGAGGACACTACTGTCATTTTGGTACACCATCAACCATGTGCACTTGGTTGATTTTTCATCGCATTGGCAGATGTTTTCACAGGTCCCGACCCCAACAACTACCTGCCTGTTGCCTAATCTAGCTACTGGTGAACTGTATGCATTGGACCCAGTCAAACTTTGAGAATAACACAAACACAGTGGGTTTATTGTTCGCAACCCAGGATTTTGTGCCTACAAGAATCTTCTAAGCATGTGTCTGCGAGGGGCCACTGTCCCAATTTAGTCAATTGGGCGGCGGGCCAACCGATTGACCGGCGCTGACCGAGGTCCGACGCCGCGGCCAACTGCACATGGATGATGGGTTATCTAAGCCACGTGTATCGGCAGCTCGGCTTAAAATAATTTTGATTTCTGATTCAGAAACTGATAGCTCAGGTCTCAAAGTACTGTATTGGCACAGTACTGAGCCCCTCTTGGAAAGTTCCCATTTGACCATTAATTGCTCCTCCTCTGTGGTCAGTCTTGAGTTGACTCAGCTAAGGACTGGGAAATGCAAGATGTTAATTTAAACAGTGTGCAATTGAGGGACATCTGGATGTAGACCAGTATCTTTAGAAATAATGGTCAGGACCTCTGGTAAAGTTTCACACATTGTGCACGATGATTTACAGCTCGATTTTGATGATCACATGACGATTTTTCGCGAGCTTGTCCCCCCTCCCAAGGTCCAAACTAATTTGGACTGCTCTAACACACCAATCTACTCCCCCCTCCCCCAATTGTCTGATTCTGTTGTCAACTTGGATGATGTTTGATTCTAGACTTTTC